ATAAATCCGTTAGTTCTCATGAAGCCTGTGGCCATTCAGCCTGTCAGTCACTCAGGTGGTGTCAGTTGCCTGAGCTCAGAATGGGTTTGGCATTTAGCATACTGGCCTGGGGGATATTAGCAAGTCACAGGTTTTCAAGTTGTTAATTACCTGAAGTGGGGATAGGATACTTCTTTTGTTTAGGGTAAAGAAAGTGATTTACAAAGCAATCAAGAAGCAGGGGGAGAGGAGAATTCTAGGATTCAGGCTAGGAGCAATCTTTAGGATTCACAGAGTGGTTAGAGAAGTAATCAAAGCCAAGAGCTAAGAAACTAAGGAACTAGGGAGGAGACTTACCATTTCTATACTTACCATTTCTATAGGAAAAAACACTTAAAAGTTTCTCAGTGGTGAGGGGGCTGCACGGTTGGCTGGTAAGGATCTCGTCTCGAGACCCTTAACTTCATTACATCTGCAAAGAGCCATTTTTCAAATAAGGTCATATTCACAGGTTCTAGGGATTAGAACATGGACAAACCTTTCGGGGGGCCACCACTTAGCCCACAACATCAACTGCCAGTGTAGCTCCCTAAGATGCGAGGCTGAATGGGCCCTGCCCTGCTTAACACCATCCAGAGCCCATTCGCCTCAGGAGAAAGCTCAAGGCTTTGGCCTGACATGCCAGTCCTCATGGAGTCACCCTGTCAACAGGCCAGCCTCAGGTCTCACCACTTTGCCACTTATGGCAAGGGCCTTGGGCAGCTCCCCAAAGGTGATGGACAGCTCAGGGTCTTTGCACATGCTCTGCCCAGTGAAGGAATTCCTGCCCCACATCCTCCTCTCCAGCTCCCTTCATCCCAGGCAAAGTTCATGCCCTCTGGACTGAGTACCCGTGTGTGTGTGTGTAAGCGTGCACATGCACTTGTGAATCACATGTGCACATGTGTGGAAGGGCTAAGAGCCCCAGCCCCTGTGCTGCTGGCCCCTGTCATGCCTTGAGCACCATGTCACTGGTGTCTGGACTGGGCCACGAGCAGCACCACCCTCTCCGCAGCAGGAGGCTGAAACCCAGAGCGCCTAGAGCACCCACCTAAAGGGGCTGTGGGTCTTGGGGGATGGAGCTGCTGCCTCCCAGCTTCCCACATCCACACACACTACACACATTCCCCGTGACTCACACACAAGCGCATGCACACACCCAAATTGTATCCCTCTTCCTTCTGGCCCCTGCCTGTCCCCTTCTCACCCACTGGGTTTGCCAGTTAAACAGCACAACTTGAACGCCTTCTCTCCTGAGCCTTTTGTGGTGTGATGAGTTTGGGCTCAGCAAGTAATAGGTGCCTGTGAATGTGAGTCAAGGGAATGACTCAATGAACACGTTAATTTTTAAAGCCCTGGGTCACAGGGCGCCCTCCTGGCAGGCAGCCTGGGTGCAGTGGTTGATAAATGAATAATTCACTAGCCACCAATTGGAGCCAGCAAGCCTCCAGGCAGTACCTCCTCTCCCACCGGCAAGCCACACCCACCGAGGGGGCCCTCCCTTCCCTGCCACCTGTCACCACTCCCAAATATGTCATCCCCCCTCTCACCCCAGCCCCGGGAGCCCTGACCTTGCCCCGAGGATCTTCTCCAGGTTCAGCACAGAGAAGATGGTCAATAAAGGTAGGGCGGACAATTCGTATAAGAAGAGGATTCTCCCATATTTGCCATGCTTCCTTATCTAACCCTCACTGCGTGCCTCTACAGTGAGTAAGCCACTGCCTCCACCTCAGTTGGCGCTATCAGCTAACGCTTGAGGGAGGGACATAGGAAGGCACGCAGAGAGGGTAGGAGGGAGGGGCTCAGGCTGAAGCTCAAAGAAGGCACATGAGTGGGGAGAAGCGTTCAGGGTGCAGAGGAAAGGCTGTATTCAAGCAGGGCCCCGGGAAAGCCTGCGTGGTCTTCAAAGACAGGGAACTATTTCCACAGTGCTCCAGCTGCCCCCTCCTCTCCAGCGGCCTCCACCCGAGGAGCAGTTAGTTGAAGAGCAGCCTCCTCCAACTCCAGTCCTGCCACTTGTCCTTAGAACCTTCTCGATACCAGAAAACCAAGCTCCACTGTCACCCCTTTTCTCCCTACCTCTCTCCCTCTCCACCAACACCTTCTGGGCTAGCGTGGGCAGCTGCTCAAATCTCCTCCTTCCCACCATCAGCAAACCCAGCAGCCTTGTTACCGGCCAACCCAGAAGCCCCTCCCCCCGCCCCCCACCGCGACTGAGAAACTTTTAAGTGTTCTTTCCTATAGAAATGGTAAGTATAGAAATGGTAAGTCTCCTCCCTAGTTCCTTAGTTTCTTAGCTCTTGGCTTTGATTACTTCTCTAACCACTCTGTGAATCCTAAAGATTGCTCCTAGCCTGAATCCTAGAATTCTCCTCTCCCCCTGCTTCTTGATTGCTTTGTAAATCACTTTCTTTACCCTAACAATAGAAGTATCCTATCCCCACTTCAGGTAATTAACAACTTGAAAGCCTGTGACTTGCTAATATCCCCCAGGCCAGTATGCTAAATGCCAAACCCATTCTGAGCCCAGGCAACTGACACCACCTGAGTGACTGACAGGCTGAATGGCCACAGGCTTCATGAGAGCTAACGGATTTATTAATTAAAATCTACTTTCCCTCATTCAGGCCTTGGGGATACAGAGGACACCCCAACAAGACTGCTGGTCACAACCAAAGCCAACGTGGTCTTCCAGGCGGAGCTCGAGACCCCTTCCTTCCATCTGAGATCAGCTAGGGTGAGAGTTCTGTGAATCCCCCAATAGGCAGGGACAGCTCTACGCCCCTGCCCAGCAGGAAGCAGATACAGAAGAAAAGACCTCCTGTCCCTCAGCTTCCCATAGAGATTTTTATGGGGA